GCAGTATCTACGAGCAAATATTTGGACTACCGATGGGATCTCCACTCTCATCTCTTTTGGCAAATGTGTATATGGACAACTTGGTAAGGGAATTCGAGAAGCCACTACTGCAACCAAAAGTGCTTATGCGATACTGGGATGACTACTTAGCACTTTGGTCACATGGTAAGGAAAATCTAAATGAATGCCTCAATTTTATTGACCAACTTGATGAAATAATTAAATTTACAATGGAGGTGGAGGAAGATGAACGACTTCCCTTTCTGGATGTTGAAGTCATACGCTCCAGAGGAACACTCATGAGGAAACAATACAGAAAGAGTTCGTATGCATAAATAATCCTTAATTTCCAGTCTCATCATAATTACAGATTAAAGATAGGAATACTGAGGAGTTTGATCATCCGAAGCTTACGACTAACGGACAATGAGTTCTGGGACGAGGAGTTGGACAAACTGACACGAATTTGCCTTAGTAACGGATACCCCAGAACATTTATAGAAAAAAATGTATAGATTATAAAGGGCCGATTTAAACTTGGTTTTATGTTAGAGTAAGCTCATCAACCAAACCAGACATGTCAGATTACGCAACCTCAGTCTTGCCTTTCCTCGAAGAGTTAAACGTTAATGACTTTAGACAAGTGGTTTCGTAACTTGATTTTCATGCTTATAAGCTTATATCTCATTATCTCAACCATACTTGTTTACGGACTTACGCAGTCTCAGTCAAGGCTTTCTCTTGGGTCATTAGGTCTTGAGGATCAGAACCTAAGCTTAAACTTTTGACAACTCTGATTTAGGAACCGTGTTACATATACACGCTAACACGCACAAATACACATACACATACACTCAAGCAAAAGTAACAGTACCAGTATGAAAGATAATTAATCAAACCATTATATATCGATATATCTAGATTTTTAATTAACTTTTGGCTCAATTTATTCTATACAAGAAGTAAGATAGAGCCGGATAGTGTTATTGCTCGCGTGTTAACGTGAGACTTTTACAATAATGAAACCCAGCTCTAATGATGCCCATCATATGATGGACGAAAGCTCAGCACGTTTTCACCCAAAACGAGGGGGGAAGTTTTGTGAACTGCGTCAAAATGAATATTGCATAAAAGCCAAACGGCTGCAGTACAACGAGATTAATCCGTCCTCATATGGTGAAAACGACCAACAAATCTCTTCTTCATTCACTTTCATACGAAATGAAAGTCTCCCTAACAATGTTATCTCAAGAGATCCATCGAAACACAGTTTCTCTTTGTATCTACGATGGTGTTTTTACACCCAATATCATAACAACTAGGGATAATTTTGTTATTTAAAAAGTTTAAATCAAGCCTTCTAATTTATTTTACTGATGGAACTATCTACGTTCTCAGATTTTCCGTTCGGTAATTAGAGTTAAATTCCATATTCTTAAGATAAAAATTGATTTTAGTAAAAGCAAAGAAGAAATTATAGACTCCAAGGTGGCGCATAAATTGCACTCACTCATTCATCCGCAAAAAGTCCCAATCACTGCAAATTTCTGAGTCAATTTCCATGTTCGGGTTTCGTACTAACTGCTGGGTAAGCTCCTGCCTAGCAGGAGACAATCTGGACCCTGTAAAGATCACATTTAGTTTTTTTTGTGTCGGATGATTTGAGTTTCGGATTGATGAAAAATTGACTGCGGGCAAAGGATATTGTTTGCTGGGCTTCTTCTGTCTCTGTTCAGAAATATAGACAGCAAGATGAGGAGGTTGTTGTGCCTCCCACTCGTCTCTGCCACAGGTTACTCGATAGGGTCGAACCGCTTGAGGAGAGGTCGCAGCAGTTAGACTGGTTACCACCAGACTACTAGGCTGAATGTTATCATATGGAAGCTGGTTGCAACAAGAGTTGAGCTTGCTATCTTTCTCACGAATAATTGCCGAAGTAGTATTAGCAATGTTATCCGAATCAGTCAGATCAGAGCCAGCCCTTACGACTGTATTTATTTCAAGAGAACTTGTAGATTTAGTTGATGGATATTGGGCATATGGACATTCATGGTAGATGCCGACTCGTAATTGGCTTGCAGGAAAAGCTTATTTTTAAAAAGTGCAAGGAAACGTAAGTATCACTGTTATACTAAATTATTTGATACATCTTAGCACATTAACCAGCTTTTATGGCAAAAAAATCAGGTACGATGACTAAAACTGGTCAAAAACTGGAGGTAATTTATTACGTCATAGCTTTTTTCAACATTTCATGTTACACATGTAATATACTTCATAACGTGTTGAGTATGCATTTACTCATATATAGCCACATTTACTTTCAGTGTTAATCAATTATATTATGGGAACTGTGAGAAATTCTTTAAATATCGCACAATGGTTTTGCCCAGAAAGAATTTAATTCAGTCCAATAAGTTTACATTCCGACATAATGAAATAGCAATGCAAAGTATCTATAGGCACAATGCATTTGCGTTGGTTGGACCTTAAATATCATAGATAATTGCGTTTGCTCACCTTCATTAATAAGCAGTTCCACACCTATTCGCATTCCCACAGTGCTTAACCATATTATCTCAATGAGATGTCTCGAAACCCTACTTTAATACGAACATATTATCTTAGCAAAATCGCGACAAATTTATCTTGAATTTTTGTTTTTTTTAGACGATTCGCACTCAGAGAGAATCACTAGCATCCTTTCACCTAAATAATGAATACGGTTAGTTAGAGTATGTTATACACGCAGTACAAACTAATCTTTTCTCCCTCCTCTTCTAAAAAGTCTTTCGTAGACCTCTGAGGCCATGGCCTTCCAGCATCACAAAGGAATTTAAATGCTGTTTCCAGCTATTTACGCATTAAGTACTCATCGAATACATATATCTTATTAATTGTGAACCCCTTTTGTTCCTATTCATGCTTCATTATATATTCATACCCTTGCTGCCTCGACGGTGAGACAGTGGAAATGAATACCCCAAAGTAAGGCTTCAGTATGAAAATATGTAAAAAGTTTATTTAATTATTTCGTAATAGTTGTATATGGTAAAATAATAATTTATAATAGAAACGAACCATGATAAGATTAAGGCACGTACCTGATTTGTTTGACGAACTCCCGTGATGCTAAAATGGGATAAAAATCTAACGATAATTTTAGACCAAAGATTGCTGCAAATTTTTTTATTATAAAGTGCTTTTAAAATGTATTAAATAGACGGTATTATGCAGTTAGATTACCAGAAGTTCAACTGTTTGTAAATATCTGTTAAGGAATATTCCGGCAAGCAATAGCGCTGACCATTTAAATGAACTAAAAAGTGATCCTATTTTCTAGATGTAT